GCGGGGCGGGGCCCCCCCCCCCCCAGTGCACAAATTTTTGTGCACCGGGCCTCTAGTTTTTTATAAGCCTGGGTTTCTTTTTTCATGAAAAGACTAATTTGTATGAACTTCCTAAATGATACTCACATAGTACCTTCTAATATCCAGGCCATATTAAAATTTCCTTAACAGTTATCTTCCTACCCTCTGCTTACCAATACTCAAAAATACAAACAACTAATAAACAGCACTTATTCCTGCTGAAAAGTTGACCCAGATGCCACAGCAAGTTTCTGACAACCCCAATGCCTACCATATAGAGACAACTGCATAGAAAGTACTCCGCTGTTTACAGATGTACTTATATTACCACTGTCCTTCTTAAGCTAAACTTATATGCTCCAATTTAGACCAAGGCTAGGCACTCTGCAATCCTTTCTGGAGTCTGGTAATTAATTTAGAATATTTTATATTAAAATAAATATGGGTAAATAAAAAAGAACAACTTAAATTTTGCATGAAATTTTTGGGGGGTTATTTTTTGTTGTCATTGTTTTGTTTTTGCATGATTTTAAATAAAATATGAGATTTCAAAAAGGATGCAGCAGGTAAAGCCTATAAAAGCACTTGTCTCCATTGATGGGGCAATGAGTAGGAATGGTTTTCATGAGCAAACTTGGGAATCTCATTAAGAAAGAAAAATGGAGATCCAAGTTATTTAATATTTATTTCTAAGAGACTCACCTGTAACCTTGCAATCTCTTCCCCAAATTTCTTTTGCTGTTTTGCCAGGATAGACTGATGGTACTCAGCATTGGCCTGCATGATACAGTGCTTGGCAGCCAGGACAGGGAACACCTCCTGGAAATAAAAATACTGACCAGGGAAGAGTCCAACCACACAAACCACCACAGACAACATGGGATGCAGGAAGAAAAAGGAAAAGGAGACAGAAATTAGAATTACCCCATTAATCGTTTAGAGAAAGGTTAGTCGTTAGGTGTAAACAGAGAAGACCACATGATTTTGCATGGGTTGAATTCAATCATTTCAATTTTTTTCTTCCAATTAGAATGAAGGGGTGTTTTTATTTTCTTTTAAGTGAAGCCAATTAAAATTTTTACAATTCTCTTTAATCGAGCCATGAAGTCAACATTTTGTTTACAAAGAAGAAAGGAAAGCATGCATTAGAAAGAGAAGTAGAATGGACAGCCAGAGGAATAGCAAGCACAAGGCTTTAGAAGCTTTCTTTTGAGCCCTTTTCCAGCCCTTAGAGTCAACTAAAACCATTACTCACATACACTAATGAAATTGCTCTATAGCTGACTGTTTCATCATGTTTAAGAGACAAAAGACAGGACAAGTAAGTTCCCACTTATACTCATATCCTAAGACTTTTTAATAAAGATGATTTTTAGCTACATAAAAATTTAGTATCGTATAACTAACATTTCAGTATCATATACTCAAAAACACATAGCCAACAGACAAATGAACTAAGTTAATAACTAATATGATTTAGTGTTATTCTGCCCTAATCTGTCTTAAAAAACTACATTCAAAATTAATTGTAAAAGACCCAAAAACATGAACCAGGGAAGCTTGTTGTATGGGTACCGGCTCTTCTAAAATGTCAAATCCTAGCCTGCAACCTTATTGCTTTTAGGCAGTACATGTCATATAAGATCCAATAAATATACTAGACAATCACTGTGCAGACAATAAATCAATCAATCAATCGATAAATAAGACATTCAAAAACTGAATTACTACCTATGTTCTTTCCTGTCTCCCAATGAATAATATCCTAGCTTCCTGGATCATTATTTGTAGAAATTTCAGTTTTACAATTAAAATATGAAATATCTTATGAGCTTTATTAGTAAAAAAGGCAAAAATAAAAGACACCTAAATCTCAAACTGCACTCATGCCAGTTCTCAAGGTAAGGCTGGAGCAACTTGGTACTTAAACAGGAGAGCTTCGAGGAATACCAGGAATGCTGCAAAGTCGTTTCCATGTCTTTGTAGGTGACATTCTTCTCTCCATGACAAGACTGAACTAATGGCCCAACAGGATGTAACGGTACACTGTGCAGCTGAACATGAGGTCTTTCCAATGAAAAAGAGGTGAGAGGGGATCCCAAGTCTTTTTTTCAGAGTAATATTATTAATACCCAAGAGTCCTGGGCAACTTTCAACTGATATCTTGGTGTATTTTAAATTTCCAGGAATCTTCACATTGTACATTTTCTGACTAAACTAACAATGTTCTATTGATGAAACTTACATGCTTTTTTTTTTTTTACTCCACCGCAAAACTATCTGCAACTTCATAATTTTTAAAAATTCCTGAATGATCTATTAATCAATAAACTCCGCTACGAGATCATGTGACAAATACCATGTGCTATCATACTGATGAAACTAATTCCTTGAACATTTCTGAAAGAGTAACTGAATCATACCACGTTTCACTCAATCTCAGTTTCCCTTTCTAACCATTCTAAATTTACTTGTTAGTCTAATAATCTGCTTTGTCCTTCCAAATGATCATCACTGACTCGTCATTTCAAATGCCACTTCAGAAAAATTTACATTAAAATAATACTTCCTGCAATAAATATGTGGTTTAAAGATGGTTGTTTTCCTTAGCTGTTCAACAGCAGCCCAATTTTTCTATTCCTGTTGACAAAACTTAATTCTAATAAAAGTATTGGCTGATTTTGTTTCCTTTTCCTTTTTCTTTATGTCTTTAAGAAAACAGGACAATAATTAAAAGTGTGAACAATCAACATGCTCAAGTATTCATGCTTGTTGTACCAAATCACCAATGAATCAGAAGTACACAATACCCTTATTTGATAAAATTATTGAGACAGATATTTAAAAATTTCCAGGAAGAGATTTAGCTTGGAAAAACAAGTTAAGTGAAGAGCAGAGGCAAAGGCATCCCCTCAATATGAAATAAATTTTCATGCATCTTAAATAAAAAAATATTTCTACAAATACATTCTTTAAATGCCTCTCCTAAAATTTCAAATCTTCATAAAATGTAATTTTCAACTTGCTTCTTGTACACAGTATCCAAATATTTCTACATGCAAACAGCCAAGTGTGTATAAAAATGATAACTGACCTTAGGGAGAGTGTCTTTATACTGACACTGCTTGAAAGCATCACCAAAATAATCTGCAGCCTGATTTGCCAATTTGGCTATAATGGCATCTTTCATTTTATCTGGAATAAAATATGAAATTGACCATTATAATTAAAATAAAGTAATCTGATATATCATGATTGTACATGTCTTTAAAAATCCTTATTGATGAAATCAATTCATCTGCATGAAACTTAATTATTCCTCAGGCAAATACAAAGAGTCAGAAAATAATTTAGTGGTAGCCAGGAGCTAGGGGAAAGAGGGAATAGAGTGTGACTGCCAGTGGGTATGAGGTTTCTTTTGGGGATAATGACAATGTCTTAAAATAAGACTGGTTATGGTCACAAAACTCTGACTATACTAAAAACCAATGAAGTATGTATTTTAAAAGGATGGATTTTACTGTATAGGAATTCTATGTCATATGGATTCCACATGACTGCATCCTTAGTTTTAATTTCTCTGTACTTACATATTCAGCCTATATTCCAATCTGTTATACTAAATTACATGCCTTATAAGAATTAATCTTATTCCCTCATTCAGAGCTAGGGATTCTGCTAGGCTCAATCTTGTCAGTTAGATCTCGATGAAATGAGATCTCCTTAAAGGTACTCTTCTTCACTAATGAATCTGAAATTAGCATGACTGCCCCTCCATCCTTACCCCACAGCCAGACCAGACCACCAGCCATTATCGCACAATCCACCTTATTCTCTTTAAAGACATTTATCTCTCTTTACCTGAGCCACTTAATTTCTTATTATCTCCCCAACACTCAACTATAAGCTTCCTGAAATAAGGAATCTTGCTTGTCTTCTAACTCTATTTACCTAGAGCAGGGGTCCTCAAACTACGGCCCGCTGGCCACATGCAAATACAAATATTGTATTTGTTCCCATTTTGTTTTTTTACTTCAAAGTAAAATATGTGCAGTGTGCATAGGAATTTGTTCATAGTTTTTTTTTAAACTATAGTCCGGCCCTCCAACGGTCTTGAGGGACAGTGAACTGGCCCCCTGTTTTAAAAGTTTGAGGACCCCTGACCTAGAGCTTAGAGCAGGGACTAGAACACAGAAAGTACTCAATAAGTATTTGCTAAATGAATACATGTTTGACATATTACAAACCTATATAGACATTATTTCAGAGTTCAATGTTTTAAGACAATAGCTAACTATCCATTTTATAAAAGATTGCAAATACAACTTACATTCTTAAATGTGCATTATACCACCTTAAGTTCAGAAAAGGAAAGCTGAAAATTTTCAATAACGCATGTTTCAAGTTCATGCTCTACACTGAACATGTTATATTTTAATCATCTTCTAATTTTAAAAAACTATCACTTATTTTCACATGCAACAAAATGACAAATTGGAATTACCTCTTGTGGCCTTTAAAAAAAAGACTTCTTGGGCCTGTGCCAGCATAATAAGACTGAGGGTCCCAACAGTATCTGGAGATATGTCCACAGTAGGTTCCCGATTTAAGGCAGATAAAACCGTCTCTTTAATATGTAAAAAGGCACCACTAGCAAACTAGAGGGGAGTAAAAAAGAATTTCTTTAAAAATTTATAGGAACTCAGTTAAGACTTAATTTTCTACTGTTAGACACAAAATTATTCCAAATGTTAACTCAGTTGAATAGTTATTTAAATTTTATATTGTGCAAAATAGCTCTAAAACATCTGACCTACAGACAATAAGGGTATTTTTTCTAAAATACTATAGAGTAACAAGAAATTTAACAAAGATAAAAAGTCAATTGTAACAAAGAAAGTATATTAACAGGACAAATTGAGTAAACTTATTTTTAGATATACTTCCTCAAAACTAATATGAGAATAAAGGCAGGGATAAAATATTAAAATGTTTTTAGTACTGAATGCACTTGGTTTGGTCCCAAACAAATTCATTTCTCAAACAATTAAACATATATGCTTAAGGAAGCCTCAAACACTACAGATACCTACTCCTCTGAGGAACAGCATTACCACCCAATGCTAATGATTTCTATTTGACTCTCAGAGCTCCTTGGTGAAACATTAAACATCAGATTTGTCTTCCCAATTATATTTTTCTAACATTAACACTAAAATCACTTTGCTTTCATGAAACAAATGATACTAGTAAAAAGAAAGAAGTCAGTCTGGGATTAAAAGGTGTTGTGGGTTACACAGATAAACTATGCAGAGATAACAAAAAGTTAACTGTTTCATGTGAAAATGATGCTTTCTGCAGTCATGAAGTATCATAAAACCAGAGTATCTGCAGAGAGTGATCAGCTGACCCTGCTTAGTAAACTAACAGAATCACAGACTAGAACAGCAAAGAAACCAGTCTCTCATTCACAGATACGGAACTGGAGCCCTACAGCAGTTAAAGAAGTTAGACAGGACATGCAGCTCTTGGTGGCAAACAGCCTAGACAAGAATCTAGGTCTTGTAATACCATTAGTTATCTTTCTATCGCTAGGTGTCCTGCTGTGAATCACAGAGGTGACTCACAGAATGGAATGTGTCCTCACTAATTCAGAATGCCCTTCCTCTAAGATCTCACATGCCAGTTAACAATTACAACTAGTAGAAAACTAAATAAAAATTTACTTCATTATTGCATTTTAAAACATTTGCCATTTATGGCCTCAAAAAGAAAAGGTATATATGCATCATACTTATCATCTGATTGTATGGTAAGCAACAATATGGAGTATATTATTTGCTTAAAGTATGTTTTCCTCTCACTTTTCTAAAACAGCATTCCTCACCTCTCCCCTACACTTCAACAATGGGAAAAATCAGACTCCACCTCTGAGACAATCAAATTCCAGAGCCATGGGAGACCCTGGAAGGACCATTTGGAATTCCATTAAACTTGGTTGGAATCAGGACACCTGAAACCCCAATGCACCACTTTATTAGCACTTCTGCCCTTAGTCTTCCTGTCTGTAAAATGAGAATGACATTATATAACATGCTTCACGTGGTTTACCTGAGAGTCAAATAATGTATATGAAAAAACTCAGAAAATTATAAGGTAACATAAAACATGAAAACAAAATTATAGATATTACCACTTAACAATCACTTATTGTTCTTTAAATTGAAACAAAAAATGGAAGTGAATAATAAACAATTGCCACAAAAATCATATGCCTTATTAGTAAATATAGCATAACATTACATATCTGACCACACTTAAATATGACCTCTCCACAAGTGTCAAAGTTAAACTTTTCTTGCTAAGAGGTCTTAAGTTTTGTGACTTGTGTGAAGCTTTACAAGTGTCTCACTGTAAAAAAAAAAAATTAAAATAAAATAATGCACAAAATCTTTAAATGAGGTTATTTCATACATTTTATAATTTGAACCTAATTTATTGAGCCATTATGTGCCAGGCACTGTGCTAGGTGCTGGGTATACAATGGTGAGGAAAATGAGAGCTGGTTTATAGTACGTAGTTTATCTAAGAACCTCAAAAATATAAATCAATTCATTAAAAAATATACTACTTTTCAAGAAAATATCTGTGTGTAAAGAAATATCTGTAAACCTAAATGCAAATTATTTTCAATTTAATCCAACTTAGTGTTGATCATTATGTAGTAACTACTGTTCTGCATACCTGGTAATGCTTAGCAGCGATTTTCAATCCTTCATCATTATCCAGGTTCTGTTCTGCTGCAATTTGGCTAGCTAAGGCTGCACAATTGAACAACACACAGCTCTTTTCATATCCTAAGCTTGCAAGAGCTGTAAAAAATTGAGAAGGAAAATTTATCAGATTATTTTTTCTGAAGAAAATTAATGTTTCAAAGAGAAATAATACAACCTCTATCCCATTGCCTCTCATAAAAACAAGTTGCCAGCCCTGTTTTCTCACCCATCATAGGCTCCCAAATTGATAGCTGCCCTGCCAGGCATTTATTTTCATAACAATATTCCCATCATCTAAAATTCAACAGATCAATATCTTATTCTTTCCTTCCCTTTAGTCAGGTTCAAAATGAAAAGTCATTTTCACATCATTTCTCACTTAAATTCAAATACATTATTTCTATTTTTCCATCACTTCTCTAAAAAGTATACCTTCCCACCACATTTAAACCAATTCCTCACTACTACAAACCTAAGCAAATGCCAGAACCAGAACCTCCTAGCTGGCCTTCCATGCCTCGTTCCGTTATGCCAATACGTCTCTCAGAAGACTAACAAATTATTTGCTTAAAATACAACTTTGATCAAGAATCTACGCGCCTCACATCCATTTAGAAAGCTACCATTAAAAAAAATGTTTTTTAATTTAAAAAAAACAGGCAGGCTGGCGTGGGTCAGTGGTTGCGGGACAACCTATGAACCAGGAAGTCACAGTTCAATTCCCAGTCAGGGCACATGCCCGGGTTGAGGGCTCCATTCCCAGTGGGGGGCGTGCAGGAGGCAGCCAATCAATGATTCTCTCTCACCACTGATGTTTCTATCTCTCTCTCCCTCTCCCTTCCTCTCTGAAATCAATAAAAATATTAAAATTAATATTAAAAAAAGATTGAGAGTTTAGAAAAATCTCCAGAATATGATGAAAGCACAGAAAATGTATGGTGGTGGAGCAACTTCAAAACACACACGCATATACACAAACAGGGCAATACAGGAAAGCCATGGCTAAATATAAAGCAACTGGTCCCACTACAAAACAAAAAGTCAATGAACCTCAGGATGAATGGAATATATTCCAAGCAACAGATATGGGTAATCTTTTATATACAAGATATATGTATATATCTCAGTCTATTATATTTCCCATAAACATTATCATCCCAAGCTGTAGTCTAGCTTTTATTTTGACATTTCTTATGTATAAAATACTTTTTGAAAACTTTTTTCCTTATAATTAAATCCTATCTTTTTTCCTTTATGATCTCTCCTATCAGACCTAAACACAAATCAGGTGTTTTGTGTGTGTTTTTAAAGAAATATTTAATTCTCCTTTCTTCAAATAGCTCTTTTTCTTAATATTCAACTCCTCCCCGTTTTAACCTGTGCTCTTCTTTTATATATATAAAAGAGAGAGAATCATTGATCAGCTGCCTCCTGCACGCCCCCTATTGGGGATGGAGCCCACAACCCCGGCATGTGCCCTGACTGGGAATCTAACCGTGACCTCCTGGTTCAGAGGTCGACGCTTAACCACTGAGCCATGCCAGCCGAGCTGTGTTCTTCTTTTCACACAAAGCCTTTCAAAATGAAAATAGCTTGATTATATAGTTTTTCTAATACTTAAAATAGTTTCTAAAAACTACAAAAGAAAATAAAAATCACCAAATATGTTACACCTCTGAGTTACCCACTGTTAATAAAAATGCAGCAGCCCTGCCCTGTAATAGGCCTTTTATTCAATATTCCATGCAGATAGCTTTAAATGTCAAATATATATTTACATTATCATTCTTAGAATATAAAATTACACAATATTTTAATGAATGAGTAGCCCATGCTTTATTTAATCAAGACATTACTAAAGGACATTTAATTCCAATATTTACTACCAGAAATACCTTGATGAACTACTTCCTGCTTTATTTAAGCTTTTTTTTTTTTTTTTTTGCCTCCCACTTCTTCCAGGAACTTGGTTCATCATTTAACCTATCTTACTTAATTATCATTTAGTTCTCTTACCATCTGCTCCTTATTCTCAACCTACTAATTTGCTTGTCGCAATATCACTAAAAATCCTTTTCTTGACCTTGCCTCTCTCTCAGCATAATGCTCCCTTTACTCCCAAATCTTTACCCCAAGTTTTCCGAAATAAACAACCCATAGTTGCTGTTTCCATTTCATTACTTCTGGTCCAGCTCGCAACCTGATGCAATCTGGCTCCTGAGTCATGCCCCTAGTGAAACTTCTTTCGTTGCCAAATCCAGTGACTTCTCCAACCTTACATGACTTGACCCCTACTATAATGACTGTCAATAATGTTACAACCTGGAAGAACACCAAAGTCACCTGGAGATATTTTCAAAGATACTGATTCCAGTTCCTCACCTTGAAATACCACACCTGGCATTCTGTAACTTTACCTTTAAAGATATACTGTATCTTTAATATTTCCCCCAGGTAATTCTAATGTGCAACCAGGTTCAGGAGCCACTGGACTACATGGTCGCTGAAATTCTTCTGGCATTCAGGTCAATGTCTCTATTCTTCCATTTCCCCTGAGATCTGAAAGCTTTTTCTCAGCCTCATTCTCAGGAATCTCTTCCACTATTTCCCCTGAATGTTGTATTCTCTAGCTCTGGTTTTCACACTTTTCCCAATCTATACTCTACCAGAGGGGATAAATTTATTATCATTTAGTGGTAACTGTTTCCAAATCTACCTCTTTTGAGCTTTAAATCCATTATTTCAAATGCCAAAGAAAAGTTTCTACCTAGACATAACACAGAAAACTCAAACTCAACCTAATGAAAGGAATAAGTCAACAGATCAAACCAAGTTATAAATCTTAATTAGCATCCACCCTTAATTCCTACTCTTCCCTCTGACTAATAGTAGATCCAGTCAGTTTCACCTCTGAAATGTCTCTCAATCCCACCCCTTCTCTTCTGGCCCACATGCACTTCTTGTCTAATTTCATCCATAATAACTCTCACAAGACTCCTAACTCATCAGTTTCTCCCTAGTCTCTGGGGTTAGGCTTTCTGGATTCATATCTGGCTTCATTAAATCCCTGCCATATAACCTTAGAAAGTCATTTAATCTTTCTAAATCAGTTTGCTCAACTGTTAATAACAGTGCCTTTCCTCATTAGGCTCCTGGGAAATTCAGTGCCTGGATGGAATATGTACTCAATAAATGTTAGCTATTAATATGTAAGAAGAAAGAGTACAAAACTCATGAGTATACTATTTACAACTCTTCACAATCTACTTTCCAATGTCTTCTCCCTCCATAACCCTCAATTCAACCTATGGTTTCAAGCCTTAACAATATTTAGTATTAAACTAACATGTATTGTATGTAATTTATAGTGATTAATATTGTTATGTAACAGTACATAGCATATATTCTATAATACACATGTAGTATATATAACATATATATGGTTATATGTAATATTAATATTATTCATTGCAGCTCATATTTACTGAGCACTGTTCTACGGACTTTACATGAATTCACTCATTTAATCCACACCAGAACCACTGAGATAAAGAGTACTTCACAGTACTATTCCCTACTTCACACAGATGAGAAAATTAAGGCACAGAGAGGTTATATGCTGAGCTAGCAGTTAAAAAAGCCTCACTCTTCTGACCTTTGATTAAAATGTTCTACCTATAATGTTATTTTCTATCTGGAAAAACCAAATTCATCCTTCAAAGCCTAACTCAAACACTGCTTACTTTCAATAGGCAGAATTAACTTCCTCATCCATGCTCCCCTTTGTTCATAGGCTGCTCAACTTTCTCCCCAATCAGTCTGAATACAACTGTCTTATTCACTTTTATAACTAGGACAGTGCCTGGCAAGGCATAGGCTCTCTACAAAATTTTTTAATTGCATTAAAAGTTGATGTTGAAAAGAAAAGAAAATGTAAAAATGTTTATTATTTAAAAAGAATCATTACAAGAGCAATTTTAAAAACCTAAAACAAAGTGTTTAGACTAAGTTTCCCATCATTTATTATTAAAAAATTACATACCCAACTTTACAGACCCTCCAAAAAGTGAACCTTTATCAAAAGCATCCTTCCAGGTAAATGTCAAGCAGATCTTGATAAAGAGAAAACAGAAAATTATGTTACCTTCTTGAACCTCATTAAATATTAAGTCTCTTTCAGAGAAAAATTCATAATGAGGAAAAAGACAAAAGCTTCAACCTATCTAAAACATTATCTTCTCTAACCAACCAAGTCCTTTTCCTTTCTTGGCCATAAATTTTTTTTTAAGTAAAATACTGGCACTAAGTTATTTCAATTGGTCACTCTGCTTCAGTAATTGTACACATATTGTCTTCTCCAAAATACACGGTCTTATTCATCTTTGTAAAAACACAATGGATTGAACAGAATAGGAACTTAATTGTCAAATAAGCCAAGAGAAGCACGGGCAATAAAGTAAGTACTACAGGTTTCCCAGAAGATAAAATAAAAACTATTCCATGGTGACAAAAGTAAGAGAATGTTTATCTTTGGTGGATGGCATAAGATCATTTACTTCTTGATTTGGGTAGTGGTTATACATGTATATTCACTTTATGAAGATTCAAGCTATATACATATTTTCTTTCACTTTTCTGTATGCATGTTATACATGAATAAAGAGTTTACGTCATAAATTTTTAAAAAAACTGCATCTCACGCTTCTAAAATATTCTGCATACAATGATTTAAAAGAAGTTAGTCTCTTTTAAATTATGTGTTGCAATTTAACTTTTTAACTCTAGATTAGAGTATTTTCAATATACACAAAACTAGAGAGAATAACATAACGAACCCCCAATATACCTATCACCAGTTTCTAGCCTTTTGTCTTTCTTAGTTCATCTACCACCCCACCCCCCCCCCCCCCGCCTTTTCCCTGTCCACCCACCTCCCACCCCAAACACACACATACTTTTTTGAAGTACATAAACTAAAATACTTCCTGAATTATAGTTTCTCTCTTAATTCTGTAAAAGCCAAAGGGAAGAACACTATAGATTAATCAGTCAATAGTGGATATAAAATGCAGTTAAAATATATATACAGAAGTTACTGAGGAATGAAATGAATAGAATTCTAGGAAACATTCTTCAAAAAGACATAAATTTGTATCAGATGGGCCTAAGCTAATTTGTATTTAAAAGTCTCACAAAAACCTAAAGATAGTGAAAAGGCACCATTTATTTTAATAAAATGATACCATGAGTGGGAGAAAATGGGTGACTTGCCATTATCATATAACTTTACAAATTAAACAAATGACTTACCTGATTTTCAGAAAATGGGAACTTAGGTTCAATGGAACAAATCTGATCATAGTATCTAAAGCACAGAGCAAAAGTTAAAATTAGCAGAGTTAAATATTATGCACATTTATGTAAATACAACTGGTTAAAGAGTATACTAACATTATTCACGCTTACCTTGAGTGGCCCACAAATTAATCAGCCATTTTGAAGTTTCTGAACATAATCTTTTAATGTGCAAACCAAAAGCTAAATGCATGCAATGAAAAAACTGTGAACAAAAACTCATCCTCCCTCCAAAGAAAAATACTTATCAACTATTATTGCCTATAGGCAAATATCTAAACAGAAAAACCAAAATATTTCTTAAAATACTATTTCTTATTAGGATAACTGGTTATATCCATTGAGCAAATTAATATCTCCGGTAAACTGCTCAGTAAGAACAGGTTTGCCAACTTTTAAATATGTTTTGGGGCCCTAGCTGGTTTGTCTCAGTGGATAGAGCATCAACCTATGAACTGAAAGGTCCCAGGTTCGATTCTGGTCAAGGGCACATGCCCAGGTTACGAGCTCAATCCCCAGGGAGAGGTGTGCAGGAGGCAGCCAATCAATGATTCTCTCTCCTCATTGATGTTTCTCTCTCTCTCTACCTCTCCCTTCCTCTCTGAAATCAATAAAAACATATTTTAAAAATATATACATTTTCCCCCTCATCAGTATGACCTTTGAGCTAGCAAAAGGAATGAGGAAGTATTCAAAGCCAAGCGTTCTAACTGGCCTCTAATATTTCCTCCTTCCCTTATCATCTCCAACCCCCCATCCCTTCATGAGGGCTATCTTTCCAATGGTTATTTCTGAGGTCAAGTTTTTTGGAGGAAGGGCAACATGCCTGAGATCACGTTATTGGCTGGCACGGCCATAAGTTTGGCTACAAACAGGAAGAATTGAACAGTTAAGTAAATACACTGAAGATAATAGGAGCCAGGTTTCTAAATATCAGAGAAAGGAGTTACTATTAAGGGGAGAATAAATTCTGTGGCTTTGGACTGGAATTAGAGGTATCAATGTGAACTTATTTTTTAATATAGTAGAAAAATACAAAAAACAGGTGTAGGGGGTGTATTTGTGTATATTTCCTAAATGTGTATGTTGAGGGGGTCCAGAAGCAGTAACACTTAGGTAGCAATAAGTAAACCTAATGCCCAAATAATGCTCTCCATTAAAAGGAGCCAGTGTTCCTTAGAGATGTGAGTGACTCCATGGCTGAGACTGAGAAAATTGAAGATTCAAGCTTAAAACATCTTCCTATGCCAGAAAGTTAAGAAAGTATTTAAAATATTATGAGAACATGTCAAAAGGACACAGGAACTAGCTTCAAGGGGTTCCCACTAGCCAAATCTAGAAAAATTTAAATAAAATAACAAATCATAACCTATTCAGGAAAATAAGAACATCATTCTGAAGTATCTACACTAATAAAAGAGAAACATGGTAATTAGCGTACGACCGCTACCCTTTTCATTGGCTAATCAGTGAGTATATGCAAATTAACTGTCAGCCAAGATGGCGGCCGGCAGCCAGGCAGCTGAGCGAGCACGAGGCTTGCTTGCTGCAGACTCCAACGTTCCCCGCCTAACTTGCCAGCCTCTCAGTTGCAACTCTAAGCAACTATATACTATGTTGCAAATAAGAAGCTAAACAAAACCCCAGAAAAGGGCTTCCATTCAGCCGGGCTCGGACCGCAACATTGTATCGATGTTTTCAGCAGCGAGGCCTCAGAGCTAAAGCTGGCCCAGAAAAAAAAAAAAAAAAAGAGAAGAAAACAAGGAGCGGTTGGAAGCTTTAGTCACTC